CCTTTGTAGGTAGTTTTTTTTTATTCCTTAATATAGAAATAAAAATTTTTAATAGTAAGGGACATTTGAATTATATCTTCACAAATAATTTAGAGACCCATCTTTACTAGAGATATATCAAACAGCAAGCTTCAGCACAGAGTAAGAATTACATCAAACAGTATCAACAACATAATTGATGACAATTTCAACAATGCCGACATCCCACCATTACCAGTAATTATATAAGACCATCTACACACTGCACAACTAATGATAAAAAAACATATACACGCATCACAAGCTAAGACAACAGAATTGGCAGAAATCAAACTAAATATAGGAAAACTAAAACACATCACATACTTTACAAACAGATCACTAGACCACCATCAGAATATGGGGTTTGGTTGGCATAACACAAATATTCCTAATACTAAGTTTAAGAGCAAAATAACAGGAACACCATCGTCAACAAGAGCAGAGCTTGCAGCAATTGCAACAGCAATCACAACAGCATCTGCAAATAGTAACATCACAATATGTAGTGATAGCCAAGCAGCACTAAATGGAATAAACAAAGCAGAAAGAGATGTAAAAAATTTAAGAACGCTTAAAAACAGTCACATAATATTATGCATCCTAAACATAATCAAAACACAAAGATTACAGATCATATGGAAAAAAGTCAAAGCACATAGTCGAGAATACAACAATAAACTGGCAGATCAATTGGAAAAGAAGCATGCAATCTTTCTATAGCAGAGGAAATCATAATAAAAAATATACAAAATCAGATCCTCGACTGGATACAACAATTGAATGGACAGATTCTCAGCAACACAATCACACAAACAATTAAAGATATGACAAGAGCAAAATATACAGTTAACTGGAGAATGCTAAACCGAAACATAACAACAATCAACCAACACACCAAAGAAAATATAGCATGGGAAGAATCATTACAAAATAAACATTCATCAAAATCATAACAGAAATAACCAACAATGAAGACCACAACAGAAGAGCATTCAGATGAAAGCTCTGGAACCAAGAACTATCAATCAAAGACAAGCTTCACAAGAGATCAGTAGAAATATACAAAGACGACATATGTCCCAGGTGTAATACAGAAACAGAAACTAACATACACGTGATGCAATGTGTAGAAAATAAGACAAATCCAATCAAGCATCTAAAGCAAATAATAAAAGAAGAAGTGAGCAGCAAATCAAAAAAAAGAATAAAAAGCCACTTAAACTCAGAACTATGCAAACATATCAAAACATGGACGCAAGAAATTACAAACAACATATGCAAGGGAGCAATAATAACAGGAATAATTAAGATTATCAAAAAATATACAGAACCAGAAACAAGAAAACAAACAATCAAAAAGATATATGAAAGATTTTTAAAAGAGCTAGAGAAAAGGTGGAAATCCAGATGTACAAAATTTGGAAAATGGGAAAAAAAAGAAAACATTCAAAAACAAAATAAAAACAAATGGAAAACATTCACAAAAAATAAACAAACAAACAGATTAAATGCCTATAGGATTAATACAATAATGGAATATGCCAGTAAAAACTGAATCAACTGGAACATACTATACACTCTTGAAATTAATTTTAATAGGGATTGGTAGAGCCTTGGCAAATTAGCTGAGTATATATTAATATACAGGCAATAAGCCACATGGTAGGATTAGTCCTTAATGAGTTTATTAAATAGATAGAGTTAAAAAATTTGTATAAAACGAATTTGTAATTTCTCGAAATAAATTTAATAAACAAGATGTACGCCACCTGTGTTAAAAAAAAAAAATAATAATAATTCAAATGCTATGAATTCTAAATTATATGCTTTAACAACTAATAAATAAATGTTGATTTCTTGGCCAAAATTTTATTATCAGCTAAAAGTACAATAAAAATAATAGAATATACTTCAACATCTATGGCAAATGTTTTTTAACTTTGATTTAAATGGCAGTTGCAATTAATTCTTTATTTCTTGATAATACTTATAAACATATTGAATTTCAAAGACAATGTATTATATACTATAATAAATGGTGACAAGAATTCAATACCAATATATATCTTTTGATATATTTTTTACATCCAAAATACTGTGGCAAAGGATTAATTCTAGAAGTTTTTCATGAAGTTCTAAAAAAAGCTTTAGAAATTTGAAAACTTTTAGGTAGTGGCTCAAATAGTACTTCAATATTAGTAGCACAAATATGAAATTATGATACATTTAAGTCACCATATAATACAAATTTTGTTAAAACAATAGAAGCTTCTCAAACATGATGGATTGGATGTAAACAGTCACAAAATTATTTACAAAAACTTGTATTACATCTTTTAGCTATAGTTCCATATAATGGTGATTGCAAAGATTTTTTTCTGTTTTAAGTTGAATGACTCAAAAAAGATAAAACAAGTAAATAAATAATAAATTTTTTGTTGATTTTTATATATAATGATATAATATTTAATTTTTTTTATTTTAAGGTTAACTGTTAAAAAAGTATCAAATATGGCACTATGTAACGAATACACATGAAGAATTAAATTATGTCAAACATGAATTAAATGAAGATGAATTCAAACAAACAATAAAAAATTATACTATTACAATTATATCAGATGATGATATGTTTGATGAAGTATTGAAAGTGAGGAAGAAGGTAATGTATTAGAAGATAATAATATTATAGATTTAACAGATATTAATAATGAAAGTTTAGAAATTAGAAGCATTATTAAAATAGATTATGCTTTAAGTGAAAATGACTCAAATACTATGATAAATCAAGAAATTATCGATTATTGGCTTGTAGTAATTATAGCAATGAATAATGTTGTATTAGTATAGATCAATTTTATTAAATATATGCTATATTAATATACAGTATATGCTAATGTTAATTTCGGTTACATCAGTAATAACAATATCGACTGTTTGTAAAATTATAATTTTAATAATTCCAATTACGCCCCCATCTATAATCATAATAATTTTGAAAGGATTACATAAAATGTGCATCAATTAATGGGTTTATCTTAACACTTCAAAACGAAACCAATCGAAATTATGCTGTTGCTCAGGCACGAAGTGCCGCTTCTCCAAAAATAAGAATCATACCAACTGAGGAAGTAAAACTTCAAGACAACGACTAATCCAACCAACAAAGTGATGAAATAAACCAATTATTATTTTCGGATATCGCTTTAACAATCTGGAATCTGTTGAAAATTATTTTTGATGATATGTGTAATGTAATAATGGTCGAACTTCTTACTCTTGGGGTGTGAAAAATAGGTAAAGACTTGATTAAAATTATAATCATAAAACCATGATTTAAGAGGTAGAAATTTATATAAAATAGGTGCTTGAATTGATAGAAAAACAGTTAATAGTGAGTAGCGGGAAAGGAATTGCCAATATATGAGTCAGGGCTCATTTTTACTTATTACTTTACAAAAAAAAGATTTCATTTTGAATTTTTTTAAACGTAGTACATGCTATCTTCACATATACAGTATATCTCGTAAACTTAGTCTAGTATTAAAAATATAAATCATAGACCCTATTTTTTAATGAATATGTCTGCCTTTTCAAGAATATAATATTTTACCGATTGAGATTGGAAGCTCACGGTGTTTTTTTCCGGGTGATAAGCAAATATGTTGCTTCCCAACACTTCATTTAATTCATCATTCTCGTCGAAATGTAACTTAAATTCTAAAAAGCTAAGTTCCTTAGACTTTAACAAATCATTGATGATACTCTTTCCTACTTCGTAACGTGGATCCTTTGGAAGGAGTCGTGCAGATTGGAATTTTTTCTCAACTTCGGTTAAGACTTGCTGTTTAATGACTGCAGAAAAAGGGATAAGAAATTAATAAAAGAAATTCATGCAAATTCATTTGACGTAAATATAGATAATATTACCTTCAGAGGATTGTCCAGCCAAGAAGTCATCCGCCACAGTCTTCAGATCTAAAAAGCGACCACCAACCAATTCATATAGTTTTTTCGCATCTACTTCATTGATATTGCGCTTCTTAGTCAGATATGTCATTGATTCTTCCTTGCTAAGGTCACCAATTTCCACCACAGGTTTTGCACGTGACCAGGCACTACGCGCTAAAAATAAGGATCAAAATATGTAACACTAATTTTCGAGATCATATAATAATATTGGTACTTACTTTCCATTCTTCTAGGCACCGAACCTTCACTGCTGACAAACACAGCGATATATTTTCTGTCATCGGCATTCTTTTTAGCATCATCTTGAAGGATGTCGAGGATTTTCGGATTTTTGTGAACCAATCGGCTAACATTATCGTAAACGATAACCGGTGGTTTATTATGCTTCTTTTTGTACACGGCAGAAGCACGTTTAAAGGCTTCCATGGCTCTCTTCCACTTGGGATCCTCGAATCTCACTATAAAAAAGAGAAATTAGGTTCAAAATATTGATTGTCAACAATAATGCAGTAATAAAAACTTACTATTAGTGTCGCCTAAGACTTTCCGCGTCCAAGAAATATGTTCCTCAAACGCAAAGTTAAGGGCTCTTCCAAATGCTTTACCAAAGTCTTCAATATCAGCAGGAATATCAACATATATGACACCCTGCCCAACTTCTCTCGATGCAATCCTGGTTAATGTAGTTTTCCCAGTTCCATGTTCGCCGCAAACCATATGATAAAATGATTGATTTCTGTGCGGTTGAAAAATTTTTTTAAGGCGATCTACAACTAGAGGTCGAGAAACAAGCTCATCATTTAAAACATCAATTTCAGGTCGAGTTCCCTTTTCCACAGTTTCGTTGAGAAGACGTTCGTTACATCCGTTTCGGTACCAAGCATATAGAAGGTCCACTGATATAAGACCAACAAGGCCAGTTACAATTATGTTTGCCAATATAGCAGTCTACAAATAACGAAAAGATTTTGAAAACTTGATCGAACAATGCATAACAAACAACAATAAATCTCATACTGGAAGCCATTTTGCAATGTATTTTGTGAATTTGTTTAGATAGGAGGACGATGTACCTCTTCGGGAGACGTGTGGGGGGAAGGTGAAGAGTTTGCATAAGGTCTCGAAAGTGATGATTGAAATAAGTCAGGTCTCAAGTTCCTCAACATAAAACTCGGCGACTGAAGGAATCGTACTCGACGGTTAACGAAGTGAGTTGGAAAAATGGTCCTACGAAAGTGTTGAGTTATTTTGGAGGAAGACATT